GTGGGTCCAGCGGAGTGGGGCACCGCGCAGATCAGAGCCGGACCTCGTCTCTAGGGGGCTGCGATCTGCGAAAGCACCACCATTTTCGAGGGCTGCTGGCGGGGTGGGTCCATTGGAGAGAGGCACCACGCAGATCTGAGCGGGACCTCGCCGTCCCTGGGGGGCTGCGATTTGCCAAATTGTCGCCACTTTCGATGGCTGCTGGCGGGTCCAGCGGAGTGAGGCACCGCGCTGATCAGGGCCGGACTTCACCGTCTCTGCGGGGCTGCGATCTGCGAAACAGTTGCTACTTTCAAAGGCTGGTGGCGGGTTCAGCGGAGTGAGGCACCGCGCAGATCAGAGCGGGACCTCGCGAGCCTCACGAATGCCGCTCGCAGAAATATATGAACCCATGTCACGTCTTCACTTCCGTATATAGTCTCCCAATCTACTCATGCCCGGCATTTCGCAGGGGTTGGGTACGTCGCCAGGGTAAGTCTATATTACTACTACTACTACTACTACTACTACTACTACTACTACTACTACTACTACTACTACTACTACTACGACTACTACTACTACTACTACTACTACTAGTGCTACTAATAGTATTACGACTACTACTACTACAACAACTACTTCTTCTACTACTACTACTACTACTACTTCGACTACGACTGCGACTACTACTACTACTACTAATACTACTACTACTACTACTACTACTACTACTACGACTACTACTACTACTACTACTACTACTACTACGACTACGACTACGACTACGTCTACGACTACTACTACTACTACTACTACCACTACTACCATTACTACTACTACTACTACTACTACTACTACTACTTCTACTACTACTACTACTACGACTACTACTACTACTACTACTACTACTACTACTACTACGATGGCTACTCCTACGACTGCCACTACGACTGCGACTACGACTACGGCTACGACTACGACTACTACTCGTACTACTACTACTACTCGTACTACTACTAC